GCTGAGGCTAGCGGGGGCGCCCAAAATCGAACCCATGACGTGTCTTATATTAAACAAAGTTGTCTTACTCTTTACCAAATTAGCTACATGGCAAAGCTATAAAAGAAACATTTATTAGATGTACCATTTGTTTGCTATTCCACTTCTTTTTATAGGTTTATCCGACTGGCGAATGATCGTATGAGAAAGAGAGTTAATATGAGAAGCGTAAGATGAGATATGGATCCTTGATTATTTTTAATCTCAAATCCACCCATGAAAACCGCTTGATACAAGGATTGATCTGGTATATCTCGGTGCATCTCATCTTAGAGAAGCGTAAGTAACGATTTGGACCCTTGATCACCTTTAATCTGAAACCCACCCATGAATCACGCTTGATACGGGGATTGATACGAAACATCTAGTGCATAAGGATGGTGATGTGGCTCGACCCATTGGGGAACCTGGCTCACCGACCCGCACGGGGATGAGGATTCCCCGCTAAAATGGGTCCCGGGACCGGGGATCCCCAATAGACTTAATCCGGGGACGGGGACGGGGCCGATGGATGTTACTTAAATCGGCGTTGGGCCGAGGACAGGGATCCCCAGTAGACTCAAACTAACATATATTTTTCATAAGGTTTGACTGGAGACAGGATGTTGATCTCCGCACCTGCTGGGGACCAGGGCCATGGGCTATTACTAAAAACCAGGGCCGAGGATTACAAAACTCGCCCCATCCCCGCCTCGTTGCATGCCTACTGGTGCATCTCATCCTATATAAGCGTAAGAAAAGATCGGGATCCTTGATCACCTTTTAATCTCAAACCACCCATGAATCATGCTTGATACGACATGCATCTCATTATAATGTGCATCTAATAATGGAGATTCCTTGTTACGTTTCTCATCTTAACTCTCCTTCTTACCGAAACCTAACCCTTATTCGTCTAAATAACTTGACTCGTTTTTTACATAAATAAAAATTTACATTTATTATAAACTCATAAATCAAGTTTAATAGAAATGAATTTACTTTGAAAAAAAAATTCAAATAAGACGGTAACGAAATTAAATAAAAAAAAACAGAAAATATACTTCTACAAACAACGTGTCAAAAACGTATGCATCCCACTTGGGTGGAGGGCAAAAACGGAAATTAAGCAACGTCGTTCTCTTATTGGCTTTCACCTCTCCTCTCCTCTCCTTTCCTTAGCCACAACACTGCGTAACACTGGATTATTACCCCTTGTGGAATGAAATGTTTTTCTTGGGGTTCCTGTACAACAAAACAGTAGCCACCTGCGGTCGCACGGTTACCAAATACGCGTCTCCGTATGCAAGTAAACTTATCTTTTTTACCCCTACTATTCTAAATTAACATTTAAACCCACCAATTTTGAGTAATTTTATCTTTTTCGCTCCAAATTTTATTCAAATTTCACATTTGACCCACTAACTATCAATTTTTATCTTTTTGGTCTCTCAATTTCTTTTATGTAACTCCCTAAACATATGTGAGACTACTTAAACAGATTTATATGGAATACGATTAATATGACAATACGTATTTATCATATTACTTATTTATGAATATAAAAAAAAGAAATAGATAAAAACACTAACGGTTCAACACAATCTGTTTTAACTTAAACTTGCATTAATATTTTAGCCCATTTGATCAAAACTCAATTGTACCCATCATCAAACTTGTTTTGTTATATACGTTGACCTTGACTTGACAGATACAATGTTTATGAAACATTGCGTTCTTTCTTATTGTAAGTCTCCTTAAGCAAGCCACTGTAATAATTTCATCTGCATGGTATATAAGTTATTCAAGTGCAAAGAACTTGTGGAAAACCACAAGGGTGGTGCATGATTGGTTTGAGCTTGGCTCCAAAGGTCAAAAGTGCCTGGAGGTCCCAGGTTCATCCAAGAAGGAACAAAAATCCCCTTGTGGCCATGGAGGTTCAAATACGGTGACTCCGGGCTACCTGCAAAGCATGTGGTCGTCCTGGGATTAGTCGGCTCACATAGCATGTTAAATATCCAGGTTAGTCAAAACAAAAAAAAAGACTTGTGGAAGTTAACTTCACGTTTTTGATTCAACCGTATCAAAACACAGAACATTCGGAGGAGTTATAACTGCAAAATAGTCAAATTTTTATTCAAAGCATGTAACAAGTTAAGTACGAGTTTATAAAACTCGTTTTTCAGAGCTTATCGAACTTTTGGAGCTCTGTGCATGTGTTAATAATTCTGTTTCAAGCTCAAATTAAACTTGTCTTATTGAAAAAAGTTTTGATGGATATTTTGAGATATCAAATTAAGCCTGTTTCATTAAGCATATTTGTGATGAAGACTCGAGTTATTCATAGGGATAGTGATTTGTCCCGAACCGGTGGGGAACCCGGTTCACCTGACCCGTACGGGGATTCCCCGCTAGAACGGGTCCCGGGGCCGGGGATCCCCAGTAGACTCAAACCAGGGACGGGATCCCCCGTAGAATCTAACTAAATGATACTATTTACGGGGTTTGACCGGGGTTTTACTGGGTTTTGACCGAGTATTGCTAGAGATTTGACCGGGGACGGGATAATAATCCCCGTACCCGCCGGGGACCGAGGCCAGGGGACGTTACTACAAACTGGGGTCGGGTTCGGGGATTACAAAACCCGCCCCATCCCCGCCCCCGTTGCCATGCCTAGTTATTCACACTCTTGAATCAAGCTCGATCTTGCGTTAAGAAGACCCATCAAACATCAAATCAAAATTAAGATAACACCATTGATTTAGGTCCAAAGCTTCCTTAAAATCGAGTTTTGTTCTACTTGTTTATAGCCTGATCAGGGGATTTATTGGATTTATAAATTATTAGAAAAATGTATAATTCAAATATTTTAAGGTGGAAAAACTTTTTGAGTGCTTTTTGTGGAATTGTATCCATCTTAATGGGATCAATAACTGATATCGACCCAAAAATATTTTGTTCAAGGGCAAGATAGATAAATAAAGTTGCATTATATAATCTACTATTTATGCCTCTGACGAGTAGCTCAACAAAGAGGAGGGGGATTTTCTCCAAAACAATACAGGTCCTGGGCCTAATCCTAGGCACCCAGCTAGCGTTAGCTGTGGGTGAGTCAAAAAATACCCTTCATGTTGATATTCTTAAAGCTAGGTTCCATGTGGAGTCGGTTGAGGTTACTGGTAATCAACTTTTTACCTTAGGGGCTGTTTGGTAGGCTCTTAATGGTTACATTAAGAGCCAATCGTTGAATCGGTCAGAGGTTGCGTGTGTTTGGCAAAAAAAAAACAATCTCTTAATGGTTACAAACACCTCTTAACCATTTTGCACCTGGTGCTTCACTCAACCATTCAGACATCATTTGTTCCATCTTTACCCCTCCCACCCCTCTCTTCCAGCGTCGCCTTCACCGTCTCCAGAGTTCATGTCGCCTTCCACGAGTTCACGTCGCCTTCACCGTCTCCATCTCCGGCCACCTGCACCGTCTCCATCTCCGGCCACCTGCACCGTCTCCATCTCCGTCTCAAATCATAGAACCCAAAAATCAAATCATAGAACCCAGCACCCCTCTCTTGTTGGTCACCGGAACAGTCGATCGAAGCTGGCGACGGAGAGGGATGGCAGAGGCGGAAGGCCTGAGCGGCGGCGACGGAGGGGAAGGCCTGAGCGGCGGCGACGGAGGGGAAGGCCTGAGCGGCGGCGACAGAGGGGAAGGCCTGAGCGGCGGCGACGGAGGAGAAGGCCTGAGCGACGGAGACGGAGGGGAAGCAGCGGCGACGGAGGGAAGGCCTGAGATGGTAGGAGATGAAGGGGGCGATGAAACTGGAACCGTGTCCATACATATATGATTTTTGTTATTTATAATTTAATTTAAATTATTTAATATTATTGAGGGTTAAAATGGTAATTTGTTATCATTCAGAAAACATTTACCAAACAACCATATTTCATTCAGCACTTAACCATTCTAACCCTCTTAGCCATTCTGACCTCTTAACTATTCTGCACTAAATCATTCAGCAACTGCCAAACAGCCCCTTAGTATAATATACTATTTACCAAAAATAAATGAATTAATGGGTTAAAAGCAAACAAATAAGATAATATATGGGCTAAAAGAGGTATAATCAAATGAAAACTAATTAGTTTGTTGTAACTGTGAAATCCAATATAAGCCAATCATTTTATTATATTAATTGTATCACCTTAATTAAGAAAAATGGTGTATTATTAATTTTATTAATATTTTTTAAAGGTTATTAATCAAAGAGATTGATACTATTTCCTTATTAATCAAACAAATTATGGAAGTTTCTTTCTATGAAGTTACAATTAAAAAAATAAATAAATATTTTCTTACTGTTAAAAGTTATTGGGTATCGCACTGGTAACATAGTGGTATCACAATTGTATTCATCAACCAGATCTGGTATCATAGTGTGTATCACAATGTATTTTTGTCCTTATACGAAGTATATCACAATATATTTTTGTTGTTTTACTAAATGTAACACAATATATTAGGTAATGTTTTCTTTGCCAAGTGTATCACACTGTGTTTTTTCTTTATTTTATTAAACGTATTACAATGTGCATCATATGTCGATATAATGTTCGTTGGAGAGAGTTGAGAGGAGACATAAGAGAGGAGAAATTTAGAAGAACTAAAATGCCCTTAATTAATATTTTTAATTAAAATAATTAAAATTATTAATTTACTAATTTAAATTTATAATTGAAAATCTCACGGTTAAAACAAACTAATTAGTTGTTTATTTAAGGAACGTGTAAAATTATATATCTCCTGTAAACGGCACAAATATAGATATATATATATATATATATATAGATATATAGAGATAGATAGACTCCATTTACTGTCCACATCCTCTGACCGGTTTAGCATTCTAGAGAGAGAGAGGGTGAGGGGGAGAGAGAGTATCTACTCTTTGACTCAGCCATGCCGGCAAAGACGTCTTGCTATATGTAATATATATATATATATATATATCTGTATATCTCTGTGAGATGAAAGCGCGTTGAAGATATCCGAACTAGCAAAGGCTTTGATTTTGATTCTCTTCCACGGAAAAGTTGCAGACAAATCCTGAATTTTGAACAGCCCATCAAAACCCTAATTTTGGGTTTTCTTTCAGATCAGTTCTAAAGGTATAATCAGTTTTATTCAATATCAAGCGAGGGATTGGAAATTTGGCTTTGGTTTTCAGATTATCATAATTTTTACTTGAATTCAAGGGTTTCATGTTCTGTCGCGAGTGATTACGAATCGTAATTTACGATTAGCAGATGAACTTGGCCAGAAGTGAATCTTTGTTTTTTGATTAGTTTGACCAACGTTTACTTGTGCAAGAATTAGATTGGCTGTTTGTTTGTTGGTCATTTGATGGGTGGAATTTGTGGTAAGCCTTCTGTCATCGAAGATGGCAGGGGGAGCCCGAGTTCAAGGGATAGGGTGCCGAGTAAAGCTTCATCAGAACCGCGAGGATCGCGGTCCAAAAGGGTAGAAAGTTTTAGGGTGAAGAGTAGGGCTGAGGTAAGAACCGGATCCCTTGACAAGAGACAGAGTTCTTCAAGACGCGTTCGTGATGATCATTACGAGAAGAAGAGAGAGGTGCCTGAAATGACTATTGGGACAATCCCGAAAGCTATAGAAGGTGAACAGGTTGTGGCAGGTTGGCCTTCTTGGCTTGTTGCTGTAGCTGGTGAAGCTATCAATGGATGGTTACCTCGACGAGCAGATACATTTGAGAAATTAGATAAGGTATCTTTATGAAAGTTATGTCAAATTTGATTATCTCAGTCTCAGGTGCCTAATTATGACATTCAAATCAAATGTGATTGGTGCATGTTTTCAATTCTGTTGAACTTTTGGTTACGTACTTTAAATTGATAGCATGGACAGGTGGTTGACATTTGACTCATTGTGGTTATTCTCAGTTGCAAAGAAACCATAATTTTGTAAATATGCAACAACAATACACTTTGCAACAAAAATCAATTTTTGGACCAGTGTTTTTAAGCCTTTTCATTTTCCATTTTAAGGCCATGTTTGGCAACCACAGATAGATTTATAAGTTAGATTATTTTTTGAGCTTATTGAAAAATCATGTTTGGTAAACCATAAGCTAGCTTTTCAACAAACTTCAGGGCTCTTTTTTCCATTTATGCCTCTTATAGGTTGATTAAATATTTTTCAACATGTTTTTAGGCTACTTTACATTGTCATCTAGCTTGTTTGCTATTTTTTTCACCAAACGTGACTACTGACTAGTTTATCATTTGTTAGCAATCTATCAGCTAGCTTGCTTCCATATGTTGTAGTTAACTATAGTGTTGTTTGGAGTTTTTGCAAAGGTGATAGTCATCTGCAACAAAATCCAAAACAATGTGATTTAAGTGATCAACTATTTTTGTATAAATTTGTTTTTTTTGCTACAAAAAAGAACAAATACAATTGTTCATAAAGTTGATCCATGGAGTTATGGTCTTTCTTTGAACCTTTCGCCCTTTCAATATTTTCTGCTGAACTACTCGGTTTTTGTCGAAGATTTGAAATGCCTGGTTGTTCTTTCAGGATTGTGATGGCGTTGTTATTAGTATGATTTTAACTTTTCGAGAACTAGTCTTTTTCTGGATATAATATAGAAATCAAAATATCAAATTTTGGATAAAGGGTGTAGAATTACCGGGATTTAAAACATATTTCTCATTAAGCTAAGCAGTTTATAAATAGGATCATGCCCATGTTCAATCTGGGATATCAATGTGAGGGCTTGGAAGCATGAATTGTTGACCACAATGTTTGCGTCAAATATAACCGATAAGTTACATATGATGAAGTTCTATGCTATTTTCAAGGATTTCTGGAACCTGTACACATGTGTTCTAGTATGTTATACTTATAAGACTTCTAGTTGAAGATAGCATGGTAGATCCACTGTTTCAGTAGAGAGTTTCTCTTGATCCTTGCATTTTGTTAGTATTATTTTAGACTGAAAGTGGGAGGGAACACAAATTATTTTTTAGTGGTGAGCACTGATACTTTAAAGATAGACTTGCTAATGTGTTGGCATTCTCATATGATAGATTTGGTTTTGATGCCAACAGTTTTCTATTCATGCAGATTGGCCAAGGAACATATAGCAGTGTCTACAAGGCTCGTGATCTTACAAATAACAAAATTGTTGCTTTAAAAAGAGTGCGATTTGATAATAGGGATCCTGAGAGTGTCAGGTTTATGGCGAGGGAAATTCTTATTTTGCGAAGGCTTGATCATCCTAATATAATTAAGCTGGAAGGGTTGGTCACTTCTCGCACTTCATGCAGCCTGTACCTGGTTTTTGAGTACATGGAACATGATCTTACTGGACTCGCATCGCTACCCGGGGTCAAGTTCACAGAACCACAGGTAGTATCTTTATCACTATGTTTGACATGCATACTGGTTCCATGTTTAGAAATGCCATTATTATATCAAAACCAATGTTTAAAAACCTTCTATTACTCGGCTGTTTAAACCGGTTCGCCTCCACCCGATAAGATGACTAGTCTAGGCCTTGTTTATTAAAAAAAGCTCTTATTAGCCTCTTATGTCTGATTCATTTAAGAGGTAGGGCCATTCAGACTGTTTATTTTTTCCAATTTTTCAGAGACACTCATGTCTTATTGTCCTCTTATCTGGTAAGAGGTAAACCAACCTCTTATTTGCCTCTTATTGTTCTCCAAACCCTTAGCAACAGCGTTTCTCTATCGATTAACCTTACTCAATCATTTTTCTCGATCGATCCTTACCAAATGGATCCTCACCTCTCTCAATTGATGTATTTTTAATAGGATTTAAATGTGTTGAATACCGTCAATGGTATATTCTATGTTCAAATGAATGCTAATTATATTATTTAGATGTAAATTTCGTAATGATGATGAATAAATGTGTGAAATTGTATAAATTTATCAAATTCAACACTATAATTTTCTAATGGGTAAAATAGAACATTTAAACAAGTTCAGATGTTTATCAGTTTACAAAAACAAACAATCCTGTTAATTCAGATTTCAGACTTCAGCACCACCTCTTATCAATCAGAAGTGAAATAAGACTTCAGACTTCAGCACCTCTTAAAAACAAACGCCACCTATGTCAATCTCAAAAATGAGTTTTATTTAAGAACCAACGATCTAACTTTTCAATCATAGAGCAGTACAAAGGTGCACCATGAAGTGTAAAAGTTAACCTTCATGCGTAGTTCTTCTACCCCTTTATTCAAAATACTTTTTGTTTCATCGTGTATATTCTTTTACTTAACATTTGGCTTATTAATAAATTGTTGGTATTTACTCTTTATGTTTGTTGTTAACTATTAAAATGATTTTGTTATGTTATGTTGAAATTCATTTTTTTTATATAATCTTTCATCATTTTGTAGGGAAGTCCCAAATTGCTATTTCATTTTGAACATTTAAAATGAACATTTTTTTATTATCGTAATATGAATATTATTGTATAATGACTTGCGCTTGACCTAATGACATTTCTGAACGCTACATTTCTAGATGAATGAGTGGTCTGGGCTAAAACATCGACTAATATTGCTGCGAGTAGGATGCCATTCAAATTTCTATTTTCTAATCATGAATGGATGTTTGTAGGTTAAATGTTACATGCAGCAGCTGCTACGTGGACTTGATCATTGTCATAGTCGTGGTGTCCTGCACCGTGATATTAAAGGGTCAAATCTTTTGATTGACGATCATGGTGTCTTGAAAATAGCAGACTTTGGTTTGGCAAGTTTCTTTGATCAGGGTGAAAATATGCAATTGACAAGCCGTGTTGTGACTCTTTGGTATCGACCACCGGAACTTTTACTTGGAGCAACTCATTATGGAGCTGCTGTTGATTTATGGAGCACTGGATGCATCCTCGGAGAGCTATATGCTGGCAAGCCTATCATGCCTGGTCGAACGGAGGTAATACAGTAACTTCGTTTCTGTCTCTTGCCTGTTGAGAAACTGTTACTGTGAATGTATTTTGTGCATAAGAAGTGCTCCTCCATGCACTAGAGCTATTCTACTTCAGTTTTTTATTTAGAACTGGCTACTTTATATTTTGAAGCCTGGTATGAATAGATATGATTCCTAGGAAATAACATAATGACATCAAAAAGTTAAAAGAGTAATATTATAAATACAAAAAGAACATGTGGAAGCCATAGCAGATAAATGGTAATTATAATTTTGGTAAATACAAGTTTGACATTGAAGGTCGAAGTAGTACAATCTGAGAGAGCACAGAGGTAGTAAGAGTTTATGGTCCTTCCATTCTCATTCAGTAATTTGTTTCTTTGAACTTTTCCGTGCAAGAAGATTTGCATATTTGGATACTTGCACTCTCATTTGACTTGTGATTTTTATCTGGTAGGTTGAGCAATTGCATAAAATATTTAAGCTTTGTGGTTCACCATCTGAAGATTATTGGAGAAAATCGAAATTACGTCACTCGGCGGTGTTCAAACCTACACAGCCTTATAGACGACGGATTGAAGAAACTTTTAGAGATATTCCTTCAGTTGCTATTGGGCTTATGGAGACCTTATGTGCAATAGATCCTTCACATAGAGGAACTGCATTGTTTGCTTTAAAGAGTGAGGTAACAATCTTTCTTGAATAGTTCTATTTGTTTAAACCATTTTTTAATTGTTTATTTTGCGGGTTTCCTATTTATTTCTCATTTAGAATCCAGAACGCATCATCAGTTCTTTCACCATATTAATGGTCCACAAAATATTAGTAGCAGCAATGCATAAAATTCCAGGAAATAATGGAGGCCTGTGCATTTGAAACTCAAATAGTGAATACATCAGTGAGCAAGTTAAGTTATAGACTTATAGGCTGCTTAATGGCTGTTGGATATATAATTTAACCCAAGAAGTTAATCTGATACTTCTTTTGCCCATGAAAATTATAACGTTTGACTCGAAGCGTAATTATTTTTCGTATATTTTCACTCACATTGCGGTGGTGGGAAGTCTTATTTTCCCTTAAGAAAAACTTTAGACTCTTTCTAATATTTAGGACACCCGATAATTAAGCAAAAGATTGTGAACCAAGATTAATAGCGGCAGTTTATGTCTTGATAATAATAGGAAAACAGGTAGTATTAGCATGAAAACTATTTCAGTGGGACATGTCAAAAAGGAAAGTATTACAGACTTCATGGGGCAAAGCAAGTATGTGGTTGTGTTAATTGCCATCCAAAAGTCATCTTTCATTGTACCTTCTAATTTCGTTCGCGTTTGAACTCAAGGTAGGTAGGTATATTTGCTGTCTTTAATTATGTTGCTCCATTCTTTGTGCTGGTTGGTTCTTAGTTCAACTGTTTAAACTACACCCTTAATTTTATTAATTTCTTGCATTTTTGTATGAGAAAGATTAACACTATGAAATCAGATGACTTACATATATATTTTCATATGTCTTCCAGTACTTTACAACCAAACCTCATGCATGTGATCCTTCAAGTTTACCAAAATATCCTCCCAGCAAAGAAATCGACGCAAAAATGAGGGAGGAAGAAGCTAGAAGGTATTTGCATATATTTGAGTGATAATGTTTGCCTATTTCTGTAAATGGCATTTATAAAGCATAGAAATGTTTGCTTTTGCTTGAGTTCACTACTACTCAACCTGCACTTGCAGTCACCAACTCTTGCCTTTCAGGCTAGAATCCAGAAGTTGAGTAACTGCCCCTAAAGTTGACATGGAAAAAACAGTAGTTCTGTAGCATCTACTCAAGTTAAAATCAAACCGACTATTTTTCTAGATATAGTGTGTGATGATTCCATAAAAAGTAATTCCAGGAGTTAGATGTTGCATGGTTGACATAGATTTACGTGTACACAGCTAGAAGCCAGAATAGTTCATGGTTTCTGGAACTATGATAATATAGAAGTCCGAGTCTCAGAGCAACTGGTAAGGTTGCTTCTTCATGAACAGAATGCCGTGGGGGTTTTGTTCACAGAAAAATCTCTTCACAAAATCTTGGGAAATATTGCAAAAGAATACTTCTGTTCCAGTACTTACATAACAACCGGGTCACCCTTTTGTTAAAATTTCAAATAATTGTACTCTATATCATGATGCTTATGTTGTTATATGATTAGATAGTTAATGGCGCAAGTAGAATGCAAAGACCATAAGTTGGCATCTTTACTACTCAATCTAGGAGGGTCTTTTCCCTTGATCAGTTTTGTTCTGCAGTTTAATACGATTGTTAATTAATAATCTATATGTCTTGACTATTATCCTTGACATCTTGTTTTGACTGCTGAAACCGAAAGTTGTTTGTTTGACCTTCAAACTCGAAGTATGGAAACTTATAGAGTGGGATGGGAGTTGGTTTATGTTGTATTATAACTTTTTAGCTCTTTGAAGCAACTCCTTGATAACTCAAGTTGGTCTTGTAGACAAAGAGCGGAAGGAGGTAAGGGCCAAAAGATTGACAAGGAAAGCCGAGGGCCAAGAGAACCTCGGGCAGTTCCAGCTCCTGATGCTAATGCCGAGTTACCTGCGTCAATGCAGGTACTTGCATTTCTTTTCGTGTTGATTATTTTGACAGAACAAGTTCTGAATTTTGCATATATGACTCAAGTCTCAAGCCAACTTCTGTGATACAAACATATATTGGCAACTTGTGATATACCACATATGTTGCACATCATTTGATAGCTATTTTCCGGTCTGCTTTTGCAATTTTATTTTAAAGCAAGTGAAAACTAGACAGGGAATGGTGTTTAGCAAATGTTTCATTTCAGAAAATAAAAACCAGTTTACAAATTCTCTTAAACAGGAGTTACAATTGTAAGTCTGATTCTGATGTTTTCACAGTTTTTTCTGATTCTGAGCTTTCAAACTTTGTGTAACAATTTCAATTTTTGATTCAAAAAATTTCGTTCTTCTTTTTCAAAAAAATTAACTGCCTTACCAATCATGTTTCAATGTTGTTAAACAAAACTGCGAATCCATTCACATTACAGAAAATGTCGAATAGAAAAAAGATAATTTTGGATATTGATAAGTTTTCATCACATTTACTTGTACTTAATTTCAATATGTTCTCATTTTTATGATGTGTGTTCATTTGTTACAGTGGTTCAATTAATTCAAACTATTTAAGTGTAACAGAGTCCTCCCAACGAGATGAAAATATTATTTTACATGGTATTCAATTGTGGTTTTGGTACAGAACATAAATTGTGTGTATATATATATGTGTGTGTGTGTGTGTGTAAAATATTTGATCATATAGCAAGATATAGGGTTTTGAGATACACCCTGTGTTGCTATCCCTGTTAAGTTTTAACAATTGTCGAAATTGTTTACAGAAAAGGAACGAGCGATCAAGTTCAAAGAGTAGAAGTGAGTACTTCAACCGGAACAAGGATGACACAGCTTCTGGTTTCCCTATTGAGCAACCAAGACTATCACATAATTCAAAAGAAGTGCGTAACGATATGGAACTTCCTCCTCCAATGAGGGAATCCTATTCTGGGCCATTGGTTGCAGGCGCATGGACAAAATCAGGGAAGAAATATGATGATGTTTCAATCACAAGCAGAGCTGACTTGTCTGCACTCTCTGGTTTAGTCAGTTCCAGGACATTGTTGGCTGAAGATCGTGAAAAACGTGTTCCTTCCCAGTTAGAAACAAGTCAAATGGGCAGGCTATCAGAGTTCACCCAAGATTTTGGACACTCAAGAAAGCATGACCGGAAAGATCTTTCCTGGAGCATGGCTGGTCCTCGCCGTATTGAAAGTGGAAGATCCAGTACTAAAGAACCAGCTGCGGTGAGTTCTTCTTTTAACTCAAAAATTGTTCATATTCATATCTTTCAAGTCTACTATATGAATCATGGTTACAACACTTTTTCTTTATGGGATATACGAAAAACATCTGTTGGTCTCATACTTGGAATTTTCACAACCATATACATACAATTCATCTCTGTGAGAATATGTGGAATCCCATTAGATTACTCTCCAAAAGAGCCCTCTAGAGAGAAAGGAGGTTCCGACATATATAGAGGATAAATGGCCAGATTCAATTCTCCAAATAAAAATTAAAAACTGATGGTGTTCATTTAGCCGATAAATTGAAATATCGCTGCTACTTGTGTTGTGAATTACATCATGGTTCTTCATTTATCAACTATGACGAGAATACCCTCCATTAGAAAACAGAGGATGTGATTGACACGATTGGGCATTTGGTTTAATAAAAAGTCATATAGACACTATTAGACAAATATGTAAGATACTCGTATCAACAATGACAAGATTGAGGAATGGTAGAGGTTAGGTCTGCTTACATCTTACCCTATGGTTTGGTTTACTGTTTCACGACTCAACCCCTATGTATTTAAATTTCGTATTGATTTATGATTTTCTATTTTCAGAATGGTCATGGATACAAGGGAAACAACAAGATCCATTTTTCTGGTCCATTGGGTTCATCAAATGTTGATCAGATGCTTAAAGACCACGACCGTCATATTCAAGAAGCTGCAAGAAGAGCGCGGCTTGACAAGACCAGGCTCACTAAAGCCGAGGCCGAAATGATGTCAAATCCTGTGTATATGTCTAGTCGTCGAGCCAGGTAAGAGCTTGGTTCACCCATAGGAAAACCAAGCTAAGCTTAAGCCGGTGAGAGAGCCATGAGCTCTCCCCTGTAACTCTTTTAACTTTGTACATAGAAGTAATTAAATATTTTTGTTTTGCAACTTATTAATATTTTGTGTGGGAATATAGGAAAAATATGGCATAAATTTTGAAGCAGAATCTGGTTTATAATTAGTACATCAAGTATTTGTAGTTGAAGGTTGTTCTACCTCGAGTAACAAATCTTCGTAGTTTACCCTTTTCCGCCTTACGTTGTCTACGTTTCAAATGATTCGTACTTTTTTTTTTTTGACAAATTTCAAAAGCATTCGAGGGGCGTTGGTTCTTGAAATGTTCTTTTTGCAGGAACGAAGTCGGTCTTTGTAACACCCTACAAAAATATAATGCTTCAAAAGACATAAATTGGGAAAAACTTCTAATAAAGGGGAGAAGTATGCGTTACAAACAAAAATACATGAGACGGTAAATAACAACCTAATAATCT